CTTCGCATGACTATTCGAGGCGCGAGTGAACGGAGGTCTTGCAACATTTCTTGCGATGGATATCAATATATTCCATACGTACTGGAGCGATTTCTACGCAGGGAGGAGACATAAGCTTCGTTGAGACTGTGACCGTAATGTATTGTGGATAGCGGATATATTCATATTTATTTCTTTTGGCAGAAACGCAAGATGTAGATAATAAAAAGTACGACTTAAATATAAGATATATATATTTAGTTAATATACTAATGCTTTGACTTTTAAAACAACAAAATATCGGACATGCGTTTTGCATCTGTTATTATTTTTTATGGGTATGATAATTACTATTGCGGATATAAACTACATAGTCCATACTGACATCATGTCGAAGCCAGTATTGATTATGAGACTCACCATTATAATCCATCAAGTCTATAATGAGCATATGAAGTAATCTTGCTTGCAACCCGTTACAATTTTGGCCCAATTTAAGTTATTTATTGTTCAGGGCGAATATCTACCGGGTATACAGTAAAACCTGTCTAAATAAAACTTATTAAGACTGGGAGACAGTGTTTAATTTAGAAAGGGTTTTAAACTAAACAAGTTAAAACAGACAAATTCAACTGTATGGTGTCCAACATGGTTCATATCTTTTGTTCGATTTAGAAAGGGTTTTAAATTAAACAGGTTTAGTTTAGACAGGTTCTACTGTATATATATTACAGCTTATTTTTTTAGGCTTAAAACGGGATTTTGTATTGTGGAACAGACTAGTTTGGTTAAATAGCTAGTAATTTGCATTTTAGACGGGAAATTTTGTGAATGGAATTGCGTAAGATTCGTGGGGAGAGTACAAGAAGGTCCCTGATACCTTTGATGACAAAAATAAGATGGCTTGACTGTCTTGACCATGGTTGCACTGGTCTATAATCTATGTTTAGTAGAAATTAATGAGTTACTTCAAGGTGACAGAATGCAAAAAAATAAAATAACCTTAAGTAACTTACTGATGTTACTGGACCTGAAGCCTTACATGCACTCGTTGTTTCTACTGGAATCAACGCAACGATTGTACTGAAATCATTGGGTTACTTAAAATGACAGAATGCAAAGCAACAAGTGCATGTAAAGAAACTCGATGATTCTACTGAAACTTAAAGTTTACATGCACTTGTTGTTTCGTACCCTGTCACCTCGAGGACGAGGAGACAGAGCTCCGAGCTGCTGAGCAGCATTCGAGCGCCGACGGTTTTTGAACGGCTTTGAGAAGCCTGGAAGATCCTGACCGACTCCGGCAATTATGATTGACGCTCCAAGATAAAAAAAGTCAGCTGTAGGCTGAGGCGCTAAAGGGCGTTCGCTAAGCGAACGGAAACATGTGTCACGGTGCCAAAGGTCCCTGTGGACCTCGGTGTCAAGTTTCTTGGCTTTGATAGCGTGGAACGCTGCTTAGTCTTCGACTTGGATTCAAGGTATGACCTCATCCTTGGTATGGCATGGTTGGAACACCATGAGCCATGATCGACTGGAGGTCGAAGACCTTGGGCGCTCAGGAAACGACTCCTGGTGGAACTTTGGTGAGTCATGAACCCACCTCTGCTAGGAAGAAAAAACGCTATTAGTGCGGGAGACGGTCAATGTGCTGGAGATCGGAGTATCCGAGATGGTGTTCATCGAAGATTTTTGTACAAAAGCCCCGAGCATGACTTGCGGGCCTACATGGAGTGACACGTAACCCACTGAGCACTGCTCAAGGATCAAAGCAGCTGCTGCATGCCAAGAGCACCATGGTTGGATGAGGTCCGAGGCATCGAGGGCGAGGCCCTGGTGATGCACGTGGAGTGGCACTTAATCCACAGAGTACTGCTCACATTTTGAAGCAGTCGCTGCATACCACAAGTGGCATTTTCGGACGAGGCCCGAGGTATCCTGGGCAATGCCCTTCTGATGCGCGTGGAGTGGCACGTTATCCTTTATGCGAAGACGACGGAGCTTACAGCTCTCCGTCAGATGTTGTTAATAACATCAGGGCTCCGGTGGAGCAGGAAGTAGGGCTGACACTGGGCGACACCGAGTGAGTGTTCACACTGGTCTCAATGAGACGTAAAACCACAATAGAAAAGTGACGGCA